AAGTAATTGGAAAACAGAAATCCCTACAATAGCATTAGCAGTCATGAATTATTTAACTTTGACCTGCCAACTTAAATGGGCAGCTGGAAACATATGACATCAGAAGAACGTTCAAATCTACCCCAAACATAATCAAGAACTCAAATTGGTGATTAATTGCTGCAAAGAAAAACATTTACTGATCGCTTGCATAACAAATGTGATGCACAAGTGAGTGTTGACAAAATGGGAACAGGAAGATTTTCCACGCATCCGTTGTATATCTTATCTAACAAGACGATCAAATGTACTCGTCTAAGTTTAGATCAACATTTTAGCAAAACTAGCATCCACTCTTATACCTGGAACTTATTATTATAATAAGGTTTTCTTAGTACAATATAGCACAGACCTCAAAAAAAAAAAAAAAAAGTGATGCGTTTCAAACCAAATGATTCCAAACCTCAAGAGTTTTCTATGTTCAATCACAGATCATAGTTTCAGAGAGCAGCAATTTGGGAAAACTCTAGGGCAAAATAAGGCATAAAGTTTCGTCAGTTGTTGATAAAGAGTCATTAAAAGTACTGCCAGGAAAATGATATTGAAGGAGAAAACAAAAATATCTAAAATATATATATATATATATATATATATATATATGTTGCATATATTCTGAAAATGAGAGAGAGAACATAAATTTTAGAGGACCTAAGCTGCAATCGAAATATTTCTATTCCTTCCATGGACTCTATACTACTTACTACCAAGGCATTTAGCAAACTGATCCATTATTCCTTTAAGGAAAAAACAGGGTGAGAGCAAAACAAGAGTGCATTTGAAAAAATCCCTGCTTTCCGTATACATCCTTTTTCCTGTTCTTTTTCCTAAATCAAGTAATTAAAGAACTGATATTGGGCAAAATTCACAGTATGAGAAACAACCCATGAAAGTAAAAAAGCAGATTGCTTGCACTCTGATCTGTTTAGGTGGTGTGGTTCCCAGATTCCAACTATGTACACATTAAAATGTTTTCTTCCAAAAAAAGTGGGGAAAAAAACAGCAAAGGAAGAAAGAAGAACCATTTTTCCTGGATAAACTTTACCAAGGAACAAAAAGCGGTACTAATAGCCTTTTCCAGAACAAAACATCCCCCTCGTCCATTGAAGAGAAAACCCAAAAAAAAAAAAAAAAAAGGATGCTAAAGGGTCAAAAAGATCCATAAAAACAACCAAAATTGAGAAAGATTTGAAAGTGACGAAGAAACCAAAAAGAAAGGGAAAAAAGGGGATGATAGAACTCTTACTTTTTTTAAAGGGATTGTATAGCATATATTGTTACTATTGGGTGAAATTAACAAATATGATTTATATTTGATAACCATAATTGATTCTCTCTCTTTTTTTCTTTCTTTTTTAGTTATGACAGGATACTTTAAGAGAAAATTATGTTTGAATATGCTAGTTCAAAACCAAGAAAATCATGAAGAAGAGTGCTACAATTTGAAAAAAAGTTTTTATGAAGTTGATTTATCAAATATTCCATCTGCACTGCAAAAACTAATTATGGATTATCATCTTAACATAAGGGAGGGATGAAGTTCGAACAATATATTTACAAAAAGACCTTGTCAATCTCGTGAACGTAATATTAAACAAGCTCTACAAGAAAATGTGTTAAGAAAATTTAATCCATTTTGGTTTGATGAACAACGCACACGGTTAGAATATAGTAAGGTGAAGGAAGCAGTATATTACTTATGTTGTTACCATTTTAAATTAGGTGGTAAAGTGCATGGGGGTAGTGGTGATGCCTTTGTTATGGAAGGTTTTAGCAATTGGAAGAGAAAAGAAAAGTTACAAGCATATGTTGGAGGTCCAAATAGTACACATAATCGGGCTTCTTATAATTGCCAAGCTTTGATTAATCAACAATAACATCTGCAAAAAAATTGTCAACAAGCAATTAAGACAAGCTCAAAGTGACTATCGGGTTCGTTTAAATACTTTAATTCACCGTGTTCGATTTCTTTTAAGACAAGCTTAGCTTTTTGTGATCATGATGAATCGAATGATTCGGCTAATCAAGGAAATTTCAAGGCAATTTTAAAACTTTTTTTGTGATCATAATAAGGATATCGGAAGAGTTGTAACGGATAAGTGTCTTAGAAATCTTAAATTAACATCTTTAGATATTCAAAAAGATATTGTGAGTGCTTGTACAATTGAAACCACCAATTCCATCATTTAAGACCTTTGGAATGCTTTATTATCTATTTTAGTGGATGAAGCTTGTGATGTGTCAACTAAAGAACAAATGGCAATTGTTATACGCTATGTGAACAAAAAAGGAAAAATGGTTGAACGTCTTTTAGGTATTGTGCAAGTTGAAAGCACTAGTGTTTTGTCATTAAAGGTCGCAATTGAAGTAATATTTACCAAGCACAACTTAAGCATCTCAACACTACGTGGTCAAGGCTATGATGGGGCAAGCAATATGCAAGTCGAGTTTAATGTTCTTAAATTGTAATCTTAAAGGAGAATGAAAGTGCTTTTTATGTTCATTGTTTTGCACATCAACTTCAATTAGCATTTGTAGCTATTGAAAAAAATTACATGTCCATTACCTTGCTCTTTAGTTTAGTTTCAAGTGTTGTAAATGTTATTGGAGGATCTTGTAAGCACCATGATATGCTTTTAGAGTTTTAAGCTATTAAAGTTTTAAAGACAATTGAAAATGATGAACTTGAAAGTGGACAAGGAAAAAATCAAGAGTCTACTCTTAAACGGGTCGAAGAGACACTATAAGGTTCACATTACACTATTTTGATTAGCTTGATTAAGATGTTTTCTTCTATAGTTGATGTCATTGAATTCGTTATAGAAAATGGAAAGTCCGACTAAAAAGTTGATGCTTGCGCTTTATTGGATTCATTATAATCTTTTGATATTTTATTTTGTCTTCATTTGATGAAACACATATTAGAAGTCACTCATGAATTATCACAAGCATTACAAAGAAAAGATCAAGATATTGTGAATGCTATGGCCTTGGTTAAGACAACTAAGAAACACTTGCAATTAATGCTAAATAATGGATGAAATTCGTTGTTAGATGAGGTATCTTTATTTTGTACTAGCTACATTATACAAGTCCTTAATATGAAAGATACACATATTGCTAGGGGACGATCTTAACGTAATACCGAAAAAATGACAAACATGTATCATTACAAGGTTGAGTTATTTTGTGCGCTTATAGATTTGTAACTTCAAGAGCTTAGTAATCGGTTTGATGAGGTGAACATAGATTTGCTTTTATGTTTTGCATGCTTGAGCCCGACTAATTCATTCTCTCGCTTTTGATAAAGATAAGTTGCTTCATGTTGCTTAGTTTTATCCTATTGATTTCTCTATCATCTAACTCATTGCTTTTGAAAATCAGTTGGAAACATATATCATTGATATGAAGTCTAGTTGTGAGTTTTCTAACATGAAATGAATTGGTGATTTTGTTAAAAAAAATGGTGCAGGCAAGAAATGATATTTTATATCCATTGGTCTATAGACTTATCACTTTAGCCCCGAATTAGGATCATAAAAGCTAAATATAATTTAATCCTTATGTTGAAAGTTTTTTTTTTCAATTAGATTTTTGTATGATTATTTAATCAAGCAATACTTCATCATATAGTTTTTGCATTGAGGGGATCAGAAGTGGTTTTCTTCTCTTGGGTGTGGAGATAGAATCAGTACTGAAAGCAATCAGTCAATGTCCAATGTATGACTTTGTTAGATGATGGATGGTAGCAGTATACAGGCCTACAGAGGCAAACCAAGTGAGCCCATTTGTTAGCTAGCTAGTGAGGCCCAAATTTTCCAATGAGTCTCTACCAGTTTCTTGAACCCAGAGCAGAACCCGTAGAAATTATTAAATTTCTCACTAGCCACTCCTTCCCATGTAATGAGATAAACAATTATAGATTCCATTTTTATATGAACTAAAAGAGTATTCTTTGGAAAGTACCTATAAAATTTTTTTTTCCTGCAAATTTCTATTTTTGTTATGATCCATCCTAACCACTATATTGATAATAAAAGGAAATAGATAAGTCTGTTATGGAGTTTAAACAAATTCGAAAATATTTTTGAAGTTTAATACAAAAGGATGATGTAAATGAAAACGAAACGTTTGCTGATTACTACAGTTCTTTAATCCTTACCTTGGAAAAGTCGAGTTCTATAACATTAAATGCAGTTGCTTCCTTAGTAATTAAGGTGGTTAGGTTTTGTTCATCCGTTTACAAGTCAAAGTCTTCATCTTTCTCTCTCTGTTTTTTTTTTTTTTTTGCATTTGACGATTCAAGATTGACTTTTTTTTTCTTTTTTTTTTTCTGTTCAACAATTTTGATTAGTACAAATCCATATTTTCCACCAAAAGAAGCAAAATAAAAATATTTATGTGGGCGTGCAATAAATCATGCTTGAACAGACCAACTAACATTGACCTTGGCCCAGCCCATCTAGGGTTAAAATCAGCAAATGCTTAAGCTCCAGCTCAATGATCTAATGAAGTATTAGTGAAGATTAGATACAGTATCTTTCCAAATCCTTTGACCAAAAAAGATGGTTTTTTATTGGAAGAAGCAAGCATGCACCTACTGCTTAAAACCGTACCACCAAAAGACAGTCCGACTCCAAGAACTAAGTCAAACCATGAATCCTAACCGTCCACCAAAGTAAAATCAACTGAAAATTTTTGAAACAATTTTAAAAATCTCTCATGTTAAGTATGTGATGGGGGGTAATTTTCATGACCAAGATGCCTCGTACACGTACCTTCTCACCCCTTCTTCTAGACTTTAGACTCCTAAACAACTTTTCCTTTTATGTCTTTGATTTTTGTTCAACAAGCAAGAAAAACTTCCATTTTCCTTTCTTTGATAGTTTCTCTCCTGTAATATTTATTTTCTATTCTTGAAAAGTCCCTTTTAAGTAAATTTAAACCATTAACAAGTAAGAGAGATGATGGAGTATCATGAGCTTGCTGCTATGTCATCTTGCCAAGACTCCCTAAAGGTTCTTGAGGCTGATATTCAGCATGCTAACTTGTTGTGAGTGTTCTCTCTCAGTGTTTCTAGTTTTTTTGGGTTCTTGGTTTTCTTCGCTGTTTATGTTTTGCTGCTGTTGAAATTCTGTAAAAAGTTTGCAAATTTGGTCTGTATGTTATGTTTCATTTGTGAACTCTACGTACCCTTTCGTTATTGAAGCTTGTAATGTTATTATGCTGTGGAGAACCAGAAAAATTGCATGAATAATGTGGATTTTGTGGAAGTCTCTTAGTTTATGTTTGTGAACAAGTTAATCTCTTGTTCTCATGGCTTCATTTTCATCACTGTATATGCAGTTTATACATTTTAAAGCTTTCTTTTGACTATACATTCATTTGGGAAATTATGGCTTGTTCAGAGTCCATGTTTAGTTCTGTGGTGACTTGGACTATTATCAGAAATGATGCAATTCCCTCTGTTTATAGCTATTTTGCGTATTTGAAAAGCATGCCTTTAATCCGAAAATGAGGAGTTTTTGCTATGTTGTGTATATTTCTTATTTTATACTACTATTAACAATTTAGTTATGTATTTTCTTCGGAGCATTGAGTTTCATTCATGTTTTAATTTACTTGGGGTTGACATTTGCAGGGCAGCTTCTATTCCAAGAGCCAAATGTGGTTCCTGCCTTCAAATTAAACTGGTTTATAATCACTTGGCACCCATGTTTCTGTTTTTACTCCAATGGATGGATTGCTCATGTACATGTCTACTTTCAACTTATTTAAACCTTTTCCATGTTGTTGTATATAAGGTTGGTTAGCTGATTACCTGCTTATTATGCTTTACATTTCAAATTAGATGGGTTGTTTTTTCCTTTTCTTTTGAAGAATCAAACCCCAGTTCTTCTGGTGAGCTGAATAATCACTTTTACTTTTAGGTATGCTCAGACAGGAAGCCAAAGATCTCTTCATGCGGACGGAAAGCAACCGTTAGGCAATTCTATGGTGTGTGAAAAAAATGTATTTCCTCTATGGTTTTGGTATCTATATAATGACTGTCAATAACCTATTCATAAACGTTGCATGTATGGAAAGGTAGAAATTCTTGCATGTATTGTCTTGCACAACATTCAGCATAATTCTGGTTTATATATATTGATTAAGAATGTAAGAACTATACAGGCATCCATTGTTGAAGACCATTATGTTTTTATTGAAAGAATTGTGAGATTTCATAGTGTCAAATCCTGAATAGGATATCTTGGCATCCTATGTTGGCTGAATTTTGTAGTTCTTGTGCTTAGCTTAACCTATTTAAGTCCTGACTCGTTCAAAATTGCAGCTGTTATATTACCATCACTTCAGCGTCTTCATGGTGATACAATGGAGCCAGATGTGACTCAGGAAGAAGGTCGCTGCTCGGAAATGATTGTCAATAATAGACTAGAAGATAAGAGGAAGCTTTCAGATTTGGACCTGCCGAGGGAAGATGAGTGTGGGATCTGTTTGGAGCCTTGCACAAAAATGGTTGTGCCAGGCTGCTGCCATGCAATGTGCATCAACTGCTACTGTGACTGGTATGTAATTTGTGAGGCTTCACTTTTATCTCTTTAATTTCTAATACCGTCCATCATCATTAACATGTAACAGTGGAAAAGGTCTATAGTTTTATCATTTGACGCCCATTCTTTGCAGGAATACAAGGTCAGAATCTTGCCCATTTTGTCGAGGAAGTCTGAAGAGTGTGAATTCGGAAGACTTGTGGGTTCTCACTTGCCGTAGTGATGTCGCTGACACTAACACCATATTAAAGGAAGATGTCTTGAGGTTCTATCTTTATATAAACAACTTGCCAAAGGATATCCCGGATGATCTGTTCCTGATGTATTATGAATACCTAATCTAATCTGATAGCCAAGAACGATGACATTTCAAATTTGTAGAAAAAATAACAGGCCATTACATGGACATAATGTCTGGTGAGGTTTCCACATTGAAAACTTCGTTCTTAATTGATTAATGGTTCAGAATAATGTATATGCTCAATGGAAGAGACCCCAGTTGTTATATCAAATCTGGCACTTTCCAGTGCAATTTTTTTCTTGTTGAGAATGTGTAAGGAAAAGAGAAAAGGAAAATGGAGATATTTCGAGCTGTGACGTCTACCTCTTCCATTTTTGTGAGAAGCTTATTCCTTTGGGGATTTGTTACAGTATCATGAGTTGACTTTGATTTTTGGACTGATTTATGGGAATGATATGCTGAAGAATAAAAGCCAGTCATGCATTCTGTTGTGCCACCTTTACCTCTTTATCTTTCAAACAATTTGGATTCTTTAATATTAATATAATTATTAGCCAGTTTCCTTCAGTATAGGGAGTAATTTCATGCTTGTTCACACATTTTTCTTTTACCTGTTTTTGAAAAGAATCCCATAATTACAATTCAGTTGACAGATGAATCATTGGATGCATGAAGAAACTTGTTTCTGTTCTCCCTTATTGAGTTGATGATTATGTGTATCATTCTCTCATTTTGTCCATGTCAAGCTTGAATTTGCGAAATTCTCTATGCAAATGATACCAGCACATGTTAATCGATATAATATTATGGTTTCCTGTGTTGCATGGATGATAGCAACCATGAACTAGTAGTTTGAAGCTACTAGTCTACATTTTTCAGTACATGAATGAAAAAATTTGCATTCTGTTATCAACCTTGCATTGATTGCTTTACAAGAAATAAACTTGATACTTCAAGTTTTAGTTTATGTCGATTATCTATAGGAAGAGAAGGTCAGATTGGTAGAGAATGCTAGACTTAGTGATATCTCCTACATGCTATGATTTCCTGCTCTATTGACTAGAACAGAGGAACAGAGTTATGATCTGGTAAGCATATACCAATGGACCCTTTCAGATGCTGAAAGGCACTTTTTTTTTTCTTTCCTGTTTTTCTCTCTTTATGTACAGAGTTCCCGAACTCAAATCTGTAAACACCATTTATGATTTTGTCGTATTCAAAATGTTGAAGCCATTATGTTTCTCCTTAGCAGCATATTGCTGCAGGTTTAATTGTAGCTGGAAGCAGAAATATTTAGTCCTGCACAATCGACCACTCGAGCTATTCACATTAATTTCCAAGTTATAGAATTTGACAAGAATAAGTGTGTTGCAAATTTTATACGCAATGTTAAGATAGAGTGTGTTTGTTCTGCTGTTACTTCCAGTGGGATCTTAGCACGTTCTGATACGAAAACTATACAATGGAAAGATAGAAGGATTAGTGAAGAGATCACGAGGGTTGCAAGGTATAGAGAAAAGGACAGGATTCTGACTGATATTAATTGCAAGGTTGAAATGACTCATTTTGTTGTATTCAAAGGTGAAAATGTGAAAATTGGTTGAGCCAGAATGTGCTATGCATCCTATATGATCTTTAAACCTAGAAATCACCCTGGCGAGAAAGTAGTTGGGAAGTTTCAGGTCATAAGCCACCAGAAAATCATATAGAGATGTGTCTAATTTGAGGAGTATGAAAGAGGAGGATTGCTTTACTTTGACAAGGCTCGCAGATTGCGAGTATTTGGGTAATACCGAGCAATTATAGAATCAAATAGACATCAGCTGGAAGGTAAAATTAAGACTACTTAAAGCAGCTAATGGTATTTCTATGTTTTATTCCGAATCCGGATGTAAATGAGTGGCTACTCATTATTTCTTAGGCTATGGCATAGGGTTGCAGACTTGCAGTCACCAACCACTGATAGAATATAGAATTATCACTTCCTAATCAGTTGCTGATTCATAGCGTTGCTACTAGCAACTGTAAGATTATTGAGTAGTATTTTAATGCTATAGCCAACTTGATCAAGCTGGCATTTGGATGTATTTAATGATTATATGATTTAAAGAGTAAATGTGCAATTCTTGGGAGTAATTTCATAGGAGGCTATGAAATGCTTTCTTTTAGGAACGTATGCTTAGTTGTCTATTCCTGTGAGCTACATAAGATCTTCTTCCCTATCTAGTTGCCTGTCATTTTGGGAAGTGAAGTAATGAACTAATGTATCATCCTCTATTTCTTTATTTTCATCCAGTCAAGTAATGAACCTGACTGCCCTTGTAAATCTCAAAGAAAGCTTGAACAATAATATATGCAACTCGAGTTCAAACGTCTTAAATTATCGAAAGAAATATCAAAGACCCAAAACGGATCTCTCACACAAGGTATATTTGGTGACTTCTAACACGCATTTACGTTGAACTGCTAGCTCAACCATACAGCTAGATCTCGTTGACCATAAACACCATTGCCGAAGTTGGTTAGATGGAGAACAATTCACGAATGCTGTTTCCTGTCCATCAAGGAACCAAATGGAGGATGACTGAATGTTCCACTCAGAAACATGTGACTCAGCACCTTATACATGGCTTCAGTGAGATGAACTCCATCCCAGTTAATGTACTGAGAAGGGTTTCGGCAAGCACTAGCATATGATGTGCCACATGTTGAAAACGGTTCAAAATTGTAGGGTGGACCTCCTGATCCGCAGCATGCCATGAAGGGCTCTTCGAATCCGTAGCTCTTCGGATTCTTCATAACCATGGCGTAGGCATTCCAGTAGTCAAGATAAGCAATGACAGCATCAGGGAACTGTTTCCTAAGATCCTGCACTGTCTTTTGGTAAGCAACGTTATGGGTGTAGGATTGATTGTTTACACTCTTCACGCAGCCTAAACCATCTCTGTCATCTTGAGGAGCCAGTGCCATGGCCAGTGGCAAGCATCCTGTTGGAGGCAGACCTTGAACAACAACATTTTTCACACCTTTCTTCAGCAATGTCTGCAATTTCATAGAATCTAGTTGAGTAAGAGAAATGACATCGCCAGAAATGGATTGCTCTTGCTTGTTAATTAAAATGGAGTTATTGCCATGTAGAAGAATGAGAGTTCAGTTAGCTGGTACGTACCTTTAGGAATCCAGTGACGCTGCTGATTGCAAGCTTCCTAATCGTGTCGCTTGACACGGAAGATCCAACAATGTATGCATAGTCATTGACTCCGATCTCACCAACCCAGATCAATGCATCATCAAGTACTGCCTTGCACGCAGTGCTCGATGGCGCTGCCTCCTTGCAGCCCTGACTCCCCAAGAACTTGTTGAACCAAATCATTTGAGTTTGAATTGATTGAGGAGTCATGGCAAGGGTAAGGTTGTTCTTAACAAAGAAAGCATGATTTATTGCTGTGGAGCCAGCAACAGCGAAGTTGACCCCATGACCAAGTGCATTGCTCTTGTGGCCTAGGTAAGGTGGCAAGTATGGTAAGGACAATGTTTCGGTTACAAAGTCAATCACAAGCCGCCCATCAGAGTATCGGTTGGTGGGGCGGTGAAAGAAGGTGCTGCCATATGGAGGGTTTGAGACATGGCCAAAACCAGCAGGACCTGTCGCCGACCTGGTGTTGCCAGTGTCTGTAAAGGAATCACCAAAGGCATAGATTTTATTGAAGCCACTGGTGGTCTGAGCTGTAGTATTAAAAGCTAAATTCGAAGAGGCAAAAAGGAGGATAGCAATAAGTGTGATTTGGAAAGAGAAATATGTGGAAGGAGCAACCATTTTCTCGAGGTGCACAGGCTTAGCACTTGGCAGCTTCTACTTCTTGAGCAAATGATGCAGCTTATATACTTGTGATCTTTTTTGTGAATGGCAGTTTTATCCTTGCCCTTTTACATCATCTTAGCATTTTGCAAATTTTCTGAAATTTTTATAAATTAGGCTGACTTAAGCTTTAGAGACAGAGACATATTCTAACTAGGCAGAAAATATGTGATGATAAGAGTCTTTTGCCTACCTAATAATGGACATATTTAATGCCTTTAGCTGTTTTGCCTCTGTAGACACAGGAAATCTGGTGTGCTCTTTAATTACAAGAGGCCAGAAGATACCTGCAGAAGGAATGGGGCTCTGTGTTTTTTATTTCTATCATAATAACCTTTAGTACATACATTAATTTTTCTTCTTCTTTTTTTTTTTGGAGAATAAAAACTAACTTCAGAGTAATTAGTACATCAATCAAAATTAATTTTTCTTTCAGAACGCATTTTTTATATCAATCTAGTAAAAAAAAAAAGAATTTATTAAAATTTAAATATACTAGCCTAAAATTTTTAAATCTAAAAGGTCAAGAAAATATAGCAATCGTGCATGCATAAATATGAAATACCAAAATTAAGACAAATATCGGAAGTTTCATTGGTGTGAATTGCAGGGCTGAGGATTAAGAATTTTGAGCTTCAAAATTAGTTGGGGGCCTTAAATGAGCAAACGCACTCTCCAACTGTTTCCCCGCTGATTCGAATGCTTAAAAGACTGGAAATTATAGCTTTGTTGAGAGGCAAATCATTCCCTTCAGCAATAAATTCCCAGCATTCTTTTGCGGTGCCATGATGAGATGCTTAAATATTTACAACTACCTCCGTTGCTATCCTAGCAGCAGTGTAAATGGACTGTGCCATACACATATGCAAATAAATACACCAGGCTTCCATTGAAGTTGCCGGCATGTCTCCATCCAGCATTTGCAGTGCCTGGCTTGGATATGACCGGAGTCCTTCGGGAAGATGGATGTTCTGAGTTTGACCAGGGTGGGTAATACTTAATGAAGGACCTCATTGTTCCTTCTACCTTAGCCTTAGTATTGTCATTGAAAATATGATGTGCCATCGAAATTATGATGTGTTTATGTGATGGGGAGCATCACCCTAGTGCAGTCCAGTAGATCGGATCTATAGACATACAACTCTAAATCTATGGGGCTTAATTCAAGTACATAATTCATCAGAGGATACTGATCCATCAGACAGACTCAAAGCCCTAAAGAACAGTTATCCTTTATAACACGGACCACCCCTTAGAAAGAGTTTAGGAATCCTCCCGTGCTAAGGCGCTCCAGTCCAATAAAAAAAAAAAAAAAAGAAGGTAGTGCTCTCTTCCACTGTTACTAAGAGACAAAGCATTTAATGAATATTTTCCAAATCGACATCAATCAAATTGTCACTCATCATAATCGCACTAATTTCCTTATAGATAAAAAATAATGATAGCAGAGCACTAATACTTGTTGACTTAGTCACTGAAGCTAAATGGAAAGATCATTCATATTTTTTTCACCATGTAAATTGCACCCATGGTTGCCTATATAAAGGCCTCAACCATTACAGAATAACGAGTTTTTTTTTTTAAAAAAAAAAGATCCTCTACAAAAGCTCTATATCCTATAAATTCCCCTCTCTTTTGCAAAGTTATAACGCCAGCAGTTAAATACTTGCACAAAAGAGTTTTTTAGACTAATTTGTCACCTTCGACTACTAACTTGATCGTCGAAGGTCTCTCGCCTGAATGAAAAGACTTATCTTGCAAGTACATAGCGGAAAGAGAACTTTCATTGCTCTTCACAATCATCGGACCACCAACATTGCTTGCATGTGCCATGTTTCTTAATTTTAGTAAACGAGTCAATCCACGACTCATCAATTGGTGCCATATGTGAAGATTTTGAGCTAAAAGCCAATTTTCTTATATTTCTATTTTTGTTTTCTAGAATTTTCCTTATATTTCTATTTTCGTTTTCTAGAGTATCTTTAGGTTCATACATGTCAAAATAAATGAAAGTCCCTAGTCGTACTACCCCTTCAAACTTTGCTCGTCCCAATGCCTAGCCTGTAGATGTCATCTTGTTGCAATAATATGTATAGAATCTTACAAAGGCATTTCGATAGCTCAAGCACACATCAAAATGCTTGCCTTTTTGCCTCAAACACCTCTCGCATCCTCCACCACCAAGCACTCTAGTGCCACCATGTGTTGCACCTCATATAAAAAGAGCTTTGTCCTCTCTCTTACTAATTGACGAAACCCACACTCAATAAATAAGGCATAGAGAGGACACGCTAGTGCTAAAAATGAGAAACGAGGTCACTATATATCTCTAAAACCCCAAAAAAATCACGCACATCATGTAGGCAAGCGACCATCAACTCGAGGGTCTTGTAGAGAAGGAGGAAAAAAAAATCTAAGCTTCACCATAACACCAAAAAAACACAGTGCTAGAAAAAGACATTGAGAAAAGCATCATCGAGCTCTTCTTAATCGAAAATATCGTAAGTAAGCTAAGAACTCAAACGCCATCGTATATGGAAAAAAAATGAGGTCTCCTCCCATTCACACACTAATCGTCACAAGCATAGGTTTCAAATTTCATATTTAGCTCTACGTATCCTTATACAAAGCTCTCTAAAGAATTTATCTTAGGTAAGAAGAATTTGAATATATATGATGGTTCTACCGATCTTAGATAACACATGTAAAAAGTGAAGGGACCCCTCAAAATTGTATTAAAGTGGATAGATGTCATATGCCAAGTGCTTTCCACTATCTTTTGAGGCACTTACCGGAAAATGGCACAACAAAGATAGACCTTAAGTTTGTCCTAAACTTCAAGGATATTAGTTCTAATCTAGTAGCTTCGTTCTCCAAAAGTATTCTTATCTAAAGAAGTTCAGTTGACCTTTTTTCTATCGGAAAAAAAAGATCACTCAAGTGTATCTCTCTCAATTCCATAAAGAGATGTTAAAAGTGGATGGTTTGTTAGAATCAATAGCCTTAGATCCCTTATCAAAGAGGTTAGTGACACTAGTTCGTGGAAGGAGATCTTCACCTTTCTCGTATAAACCTCGTACTCGTTAGCTTGTTGTAATGCCATAAAATTAATTCACTAAACCTCACTACTATAGCTAGTGACAAGTCTAGATTGATCCTACAAAGACTAATCTAATTGCTATCCGATCCTTATTTATGTTCAATTCTGAAAATTAAATAAAGAAAGATAGGCGGTTTGTAGTTCAAGTTCAACCTAAGAAAGCAATAACAAAATCCGAGAAATTAATCAATTAAAAAGCATCCAAGTTCAAAAGTAACTTTACCTCTAAATTACAAGCTGATCATTACAATACTTAAAAATATTATTCATAATTTACCATTTGATCTATGTTTAAGAAGCTTAGATTAACTCTATTCTTTTTATTTAATCATCAAACACATGAAACATACAATTTGAATCCTTATTATCAAACATATAGGACAAGCTCTTTATATGTAATTTAATAATAATATTAAGAATTTAAAGAACAACCAAATCAAATAATCAACATAGAGGCTAGTTGATTTCACATGTACTCTTTCCTTCTATAATTAGAATGATATCAATATTAGGAATCATTTAACCCTATTGCTATTCATGAATAGATTTTATAAAGATTACGTATTATAAATCATAATCTAGCAATTATTCACTAGTCACAATTACCTAGTGAGCTTTTCTAAATAATTACAAGCAAAAATATAATTTAATTAATGTAGAAGAATAAGAGATAGTAAAAATAAATAGATTATAAAATCAAATCAAAAGATCTCACAAACTTATTCTTCGAAGTCACATTTCTCTTTAACCGAAAAAGAAAAAATAGCCTTGCATCTTAAAAGTAAAAACGCATAAACAAAAAAAGTTCTCTTTTAAAATCAAAAGTATTCTAAATGTCAATTCCTAAAGGCTATTTATATATATGTAGAGATAGATATGTCAGCCCATAAGTCTTATTTAGGATTGTGTCCGAAATTAATTAGGACTTGTGGTCGAATAAAACTCCAAATTATGTTCTATAATTTCGACTTGATTTAGGATCGGATGCAAGTCTAATTTAGTCTTAGGCTCTTCATGAAAGTTGTAGGTTTAGATTTTTTTCTTTTCGTAGACCTTTGAATCATCTTAATCCATGGTGTAAAATTCTAGATATAGTCTAAACACTAAAAAGTATTTTGAATTGTCATGTGATTCGAATTCTTAACTTGACTTTACAATCGACTTTGATGACCTAAAACAAAATGGATTTATGTGTTTAAATCTAATTTAAAAAGCTCAAGATTTCCACTTCAAACCCTAAGAGGCCTCTTTTAACATTATGGATCTCCGAGAAGATGAAATTCTCGTTTCTTCTTCTAAAGGTCATTTTGTCGATAATGGAATTTTATCTTAGTTAGCTCACTTTTGATCCTTTGCCACCAATTATCTCTTAAATGATAAAATAAACTTAATTTAGTATATTTATATACCTAAAATTATAATCAAAAGATTAAATATAAGAGAATAAATATAATCAATAATGCTCACTATCGGTACCATGTAAAAAGACTAGTTGAAAGCGACATTAGAGTAGAGGAAGCAATGACCTTCAAGAAGATGCATCTTTGATTCTAAAGGCTAGTCGATAGGACAAGAAAAAAAAAGTCATCATCTATTTGCACAGCTCAAAAAAGAACTCGAAAGGGCTCATCCACAATTACCTTGTATTTTTAAAACTCTAGACTATTCCCTTGAATGCGATCCAAATAGAAGTAGTCGCAGTCATTCAAGGAAAAGCATTTGTAAATTACCTCAAAATTTTCTCTTTTTTTATTAAAATTTTGAAAAAATGATTTTTTTTTCATTAAGTTGAATATTTTTTAATGTTACATTTCCACTAATGAAGGGCATTTCTTGCTTAAGGAATCAAAAGAAATGAATCATCCACATATAGCTTTTTACCGAGTCCATCGAAATGAATGTCAAAATACACTAATCCTCTAATGAGATAACCGTGATGATTTCAAGTCAAAGAACTACTTGTGCTCATCTCATATGAGATTCATATAGACTAAACCAAATGGATTTTTATGATGAATCACGTCTAGTAATATGTTTTCTCTAACATTATTCACTCGAGTGCTTGATTTAACATCACCATGCTAGTAGGTTTAAGATTTCCCATTACTATCTTATAGTAAGAGAATAAAATTCACAAGTCTTATCGCATATTGTCAATGTCCATTCTTAATAATGCTATGACTTGGGACATTTAATGATATTATTTAAATGAATTGAAATTTATCTCACATCTATTGATCAATCATTACTACAAAACATATCATATGGACTTCTATCTAATTCTATCAAATTATAAATAACAAAAATTAATAGAAAAACGTCATTATTAATATTAAAATATAATGATACAATATATTAAACCATTCAAACAAATTGAATTTAGAGCACCTACATTAACACTCTATCCTCAGCAACACTCGTTCTCCATACAAGGTATATATGGTTTTACGAGAAACCCATCACGATCGTCACCTCTCTTAAGTAATGGATCCACTATAAAATGTAAAAGGTTGGTAAAGACTGGAAATGATGACATAAATACATGCAAAGTCAAAATAAAATCTAGTTATCTACCTAACGAGGTATGGATCAAGATCTACCTCTTAGCTAACTCGGTTAATCTTATACTTCCTTTTCTTGTTTTTCACTAGTCCCAAAAGGTCAATTCAAGCACTTGACTATAGAAGAAAGTTCTCATGGTTACCATGAGGAAACCTCCACAAAGAAGACACCCCGAAATATTCTAACAACAACCTTGAAAAGATACCACTCAATAACTAGCAATAAACCACTCTTTTCTTCAATCACCCATTAGGTCAAAAGCCCACATAAACACTACTTTTAATGGGCTCAAAGGATGAGCCACAAAAGTGTCACCCAAGCCCTCCTTCCATCCTCACCGACTTCATAATTTAAACGATGAGAATATATAAAAAGTTTAAAAGTTGGAGTGTTCCTAAGACTTTGAGAAAAATGGTCAAAGACAACCAAAATAGTTCCTATTTCGAGTGAATCTAGCCCACGCTTAGGAAAAAATGATCAAACACCGTTGTCACGAAGCTAGTAAAAAAATGAATTTGTACTCTAATATTTACGTTGGGATAATAACATTCAATTTTTTTTTTTTAGCCATGCTTAGAAGGAGGTTTGTTCATCCTATCATTAGGGTAGGCTAAAATAAAAGGAATTTTTCCCTAGTAAATGACCATAGGCGGCTAGTCTCTCACCGGACACACAACTCGAGTCTTCTATAATAAAGAAAGACACATCTATAAATTCATTTCGAGGAAGAAAGGACTTACCTACAATAGAGCTAGCACTTATTTTCACAACTACACTAGGCACGACCTCAACATACCCTTAACCTTCTCCAAGTCACTTTTTTTTTTTCAAATGAAAAGAAAATAGCAAGAAAAAGGACAAAGGATTACCTCACAAAGATATAGATTTGAAACAAAGAAGCACACAATTGAAAAAAAAAAAAAAGTACTCTTAAGACCAAGAAAAGGCAAACAAGAAGGAAGAAAAGAAAGGAAAATTCAAAGAAATATGAAACAACTTGCCAAAATTTTCCAACAATAAAGTCTAAAGCCTATAAAAGCAAAGAGAGATTCTTTAAACAAAGCCTATATACAAGAAAAGAGAGATTCTTTAAACAAAGCCTCTATACAAGAAAGAGAGATTCTTCTAAAGCCTATAAAAGCAAAGAGAGATTCTTTAAATAAAGCCTATATACAAGAAAACAAGGGAACCCTCCCCTAATTATGGCGTACCAAACTCTTGAAACGACCTCATGCTAATGTGGCAATACAATATAAGATAATAAGTTAGGTGCACGAGACTTTTAACAAAAATAATCATTCTTTTATAGGAAACATAAAAAAAAAAAGCATTCATTTATAGCAATAGAGACACCCAATGTACAAACGATTACCCTTCCCCCATCAAAAAGATTAAATTCTAAGCCAAGATTCACAAAAAAAAAAAAAAAAAAATTGACCAACTTGAGACAAGCAAAGTCAACATAAACAACACTAATAATCTTTCTCACTAAAGGAACATGCCTCTTAAAATGCCCTAGTCAATAATTTATAAGTCTAGGCTAATCGAGGCTAACCAAGACTTGGGGGAGGATTAATGATCGGAGCCTCACTCTAGTGGAGCCTAATAATGTGGGTTTATAGACACAACATTATTAGGCATAATTCATCATAGGGCATTGACCCATCAAAAGGGCTTAAAGCCCCAAAGGATGGCTATCCCTTATAAAACGGACTACCCATTGTTTTTTTTCTTTGACATTAGTGGCTGAATCTACAAGTATTAACACTATGCTATCATTATAATTGATATGTGACAATGTTAATGTGATTATGATGAGTGGCGTTCTAATTGATGTTATCATTAAAAAATTTTCATTAAATTCTTTGTCTCCTAGTGATAGTAGAAGACAGCATTGCCTTCTTTTTTTGGGCCGGAGTGTCTTAGGATGGGAAGATTCTAGATCTTGCAAATTTCCCTCTTTTCTGCAAATTACACTCAAATGGTTAAATATTTGCACAAAAGAGTAGTGATACGAGATTGATCGTCCAAAGGTCTCTCACCAACTAAGAGGAATTTCCTTAATAGGTACACAGTGCAAAAAGAACTTGCATCGCTCTCCCCAATCATCAAACCCGACATTGTCTGCACGTGCCATGTATTTCTATTTTACTAGATGAGTCAACCCGCAACTTAGAATTGCATAATAAACCGAATAATAGGCATCAAGCTTTGTCATCCTTTCTGCATATTTTTAGTACAAAACTTTCGAAAATGATAGATTTTACGGTATTACCATGCACCTTTAACCCGGAAGGCAAACCCCAAAAATAGATCCACAATGCAAATGGTGAGCTTTTTCTACTGAAAAATAGTTTCCAAGTCTTAAACAGGCATTTCACCCAAAACCATTTAGCCCTATGGATGAGAAAAATCCTACTGTCATGTTAGTTCCTTTGCTCTTCATTGTTTCCACTTCCCATAACTCCCTTCAAGTGCATGTTATGCCTGGTTCCTTTCACCGGACCAGTCGATTGTCTTTGCCACGGCTTAATATACCATTGCCATTCATGTGTCGTTTACATAGGTGTAAGCCCGAACTTTTGTGTTTCGAACCTGGCAAGAGTTGTTGAACCATTTGTTCCATCATTCTCCGTACTATGTCGGCAACAATTATGGTAGCCATCTTTGCGTGATAATGCGGCAAGCAAGTTGACAGGTGTTATAAGTATCACAAGCATCACTTGAAGGCCGAGGTTTTAGGTTCAGGTTGTTGACCCTTCTTATGCAAAGGGACCACGTTTCCACGACTCAAGTTGGAAAACTAGAAATGGTTGAAGAGACTACATAGTTCATATTGTCCAATCTCACGTTGATAAAAATTATCGCACGGTTTAAAATGCCCAAGAACTTCACTCAATAGTACATATATATGTTTCACTTCCTTGCTATTGTTTTCCTTCACTGCTATTGCACAACTTGAATCGAAACATCCTTGCACAACTTGAACCTAGTATATATAAATGTTTCACTTCCTTGCTATTGTTTCCCTTCCTTGCTATTGCACAAATTGAACCTAGTTTATATATATATATAATCTTCTAGTTTCTAGAACAAAGTATTATTTTAACTATTTCGCTTATTCTTCGTAGAAGGTTTTCAAACACTCCTTAATTAATAAAATTTACTAATTTAATCAAGGAGTGTTTGAAAACTTGACTTGTGCAAAATAGTTAAAATAAAACCTCTTTCTACAAGCTAGAAGATATATTGATATCTTCTAGCTTGTAGAAGGAGGTTTTATTTTAACTATTTTGCTTATTCTTCGTAGACGTAGTTTTCAAACAATCCTTGATTAAACTAGTAAATTTGATATATATATATTAAACTAGGTTCAAGTTGTGCAATAGCAAGGAAGTGAAACATATATAATGCTGGCAATATATATATTTATACATGTTTCCCTTCCTTGCTATTGCACAACTTGAACCTAGTTTAAATACAAAGAAGCCTTTCCCTATCATAATCCATCCAGACTCCCTTAAGGATATTAATAATTTGATACGATCAACTTCCAACGGAAATACCGAGACCGCATCTCCCGGCCCCCCTCCCACTTTCACCAAACCAACATGGGCTCATGCCCTACGTCTCTCAATGATGATGCAAAACATGCATTAAAAACACAACCAGTGGATCTAACAAGCTAGACAGCTTTTCAGCAGTGTAAAAATCATTTGGAAATTGGAATTAGTAGTCCAATCAATAACCATTCCCTTGAGCTCTCAAACATCATCTGGAATTAGTGTAATCAGTGAAAATTCACTTGAGCTCTTAACAACTATTTCTAGGCATAAAGTATGCTTGAGACCGATTACATACATAAAGACATCCATGCTCGCTAGAGGATGAAACAATTCACAGTAATTAACCAACTCTTCTATCACCCACTTGACTACGTGACTCCAAGAATAGTCTTACAGTTGAGTAGATTAGAGAAGGTTCAGCCATTGCACCATTCCCATAATCTCCACATGCCAGCCTCTTTGAAACAGGTGGGATCAAGGAAATTCCAAGCTCATCAATTGACATAAGATGCCGTTCTGTGAAAGGGTTGCTCCACATGAAAGTGTTCATAGCTGGCGCAACAAAAAGTGGCTTGCTGTAATCCCATGCTCGGACGATGCAGGTCAGCAGATTGTCACACAATCCCCCAGCAATCTGAATTGATACATAAATGTTGAAGAAAAGATCAGCGTGTTTTTCAATGATTTGGGGAGAGAGCAAGAGATAAAGTTTATTAATAATGTTGAAGTTATGAATAACAGGAGACCAAGATAAGTCATTCTCAAACAACACTCACTCCCATATGAACTACTCGATACACATGAGCATATTTCAAGATAAAACAATAAAAGTAAACCCAACATAAGACCAGTCCTTTTTTCTGATTTTCCCTCAATGTCTAATGGTAGAGGAGCTTAACAAAACCACCATCGTGATCCCTTTCCTCGGCATAAAACGGTACCCATTCTACCATGTCCATTCAGTCTACGGGCTTGATGTAGACTGTAGAGACACGAAAGAGGCAATACTACTCATCCAACAAACATGCGATATGGTGGTTTCTTCTTTTTTTGTTCTTATTTCTTTTTTATATGTTTATAAATATACCATTCATTCTCACATGGTTTAACTAAATCATTCAACTAGAGAAATTGAATCTCAAATCACTATCACTGTATAAGCCGTTAATCAAAGTTATATCAGGACAACCACATGCACAAATATCCCCATCCATCTGATACCCTGGTTATGAAAACGAGGAAAAACAACTTGATTGACACAATCTCACACATTCATCTATGGGGAAAACTTATGTTCAAATTTTTGTTATCCATTTATCCTAGACATGGACCAGATAGAATACGAAGATTATCATACAAAAAGGAGCCAGACATGGTAATGCAGTGAATTATTTCAGAAAAAAAGCTTTTGCAAAACATATTACCTTGCCAAGCGTATTTGCAGATAACGGGGCAATAACCATGATATCAGCCCACCGTCTTAACTCAATATGAAGCACGGTATCTCCTATCTTATTCCAACTCGACCATTCATCCTCATCAGTGTAAAGCCCAACATCCTTGGGCAATGCGGCTCTATCAATGAAATGTAAAGAAGCCCTAGTGGCAACCGCTTTCACTTCCGCCCATTCGGAAAAACAATGACAAAGATTCCCAAATTTAATCGCAGCTACACTCCCACTTGCCGCAAGTAGAATCCTAGGTCTCCTAGGACCAGCAGCAGCATTCACTTGGGCTGTCTCCCTCTCTGCTGTCACAGGTTCCAAGTATTCCATCTTCTATCCAACCAAATGATCCTATCATCAACCTAAATTAGTAAAGCGTTGTGATTAACAGGCATATTAGGAGTTAAAACCCTAAGATCTAAGACAGAAATCTTAGATTCAAAAACTTAGCGAATTTGGAGTGATGAAAAATCAAGAGAAAGCGGAAGGAGGAGAAAGGAAGAACTGGTACCGTTCAATGGACGAAGAGAAGTGCCATAAAAGGAAGCTTGCTAAGGATTTGATTCGATTCGTAGCTTGTCCCTGGGGAGAGAAGGTGGAAGGAAAGATGGTTTAAAATGCCGGAGCCAAAGTGGACGACGATTTAAGCACCGAATAATTGGTTCGAAATAGAATAAGAAGGACAGGATCAGGGGCTGAACTGGACGAAAAGAAGCGAATTGTGATGGCAGATGGGGGCGCGTGCATGTTCGTGACACAGGGGTCCTCTACCTCACTCGCACGTGTGTGGTGGAGACAGGATCAGGGGCTGAACTGGACGAAAATAAGCGAATTGTGATGGCAGATGGGGGCGCGTGCACGTTCGTGACACAGGGGTCCGCTACCTCACTCGCACGTGTGTGGTGGCCTCAGGAGTTGGAAGCTCTTGGTTTACTGGCGTTGCAATCGTTCCCGTATGCATCTGCCTCTTGGCTTTTGTTTCCTTTTTTTTTTTTTTTTATTTAAATGTAAGTATATAAATCAAAATGTAACGAGCTAGAGAACTAGCAAGAGTAGCATATACAGGATGTATAAAAAAATGGGAACAGGCTCCCAAAGAACAAAGCAAAAGAGCTAGAACTAAAAGGAATTCAATGAATATGACATAGGAGATTCCAAGAAAACCAAACCGTGATCATGAACTAGCTAACTGGAATCATGTACAAACGCTCGACGAAGATACAAAAACTTTCGTCGATAAAACCAAACGAGATAAAACCGAATCGAGGCGGAACCCGACGAACCGAGGAAAACAACCGAGCCTGAGGCTTAGGGCGGCGAAGCGGAGCTTTTAACCAACATTCAAGACACTATGATCCTTCTCATGAAAATGAAAGATCATGAAAAAAAGAACTCGAAACCTCCGAAAGAGTCGATCGATTGGGGAGGGAGTGCCATCGAAGACTCTCTTGTTCCTCTCTTTCCAAATAAGGTAAATCGTAATGCTCGGTGAGACTCGACGCATTCTAGCTTCCAAATTATTCCTTCGGAGAGAAAGGCCTCGAATGGCCCTAGGCGAGGTGGACATGCTTCTTCGGATTCGCGGCCGGTGTCGAACCCGAGCCCACAAGCCTCGCCGTCCGGGCGCACTCAAAGAACATGTGGTCGTGAGATTCAAGAGTTGTCCGACATAGGGCACTAACCGACATCATTCGGAATAAAGCAAAGGCGATCTGCAGTTTCGAGCTTCCCTTTAATCGCCAACCAAAGAACAAAAGCGTGCCTCGACGAAAGCCTACCGTTCCCAAACTCCCTTATTCCAATTAACCAACATACCCGTCGGGCGAAGATCCCGATAAGCATTGTGGATGAATTTTACTTGGCCCCAAGTTTCAATTTTTGCCTCCACCGGAGCGTTAGCCCCAAATCGTCAATTAGCTGGTCACGGGTAGAGAGAATTGCCTTCCACATGGGGAGGCGATCCGACGCACGTAGCGTGTACGGACCGTATGGTCTCTTAAGTAGAAATGATGAACCCATTAGATCCAAACCGAGTCCGTTTTTAGATGGACATCCCACACTGCTCGGCGAGGAAGCACCGATTAAGGGTAGGCAAATGCTAGAGCGCCGGACCCGCTTCCTCTTTTGGGAAACATAGCTTTTTCCAAGCTACCAAGGCGGAATGGCTCTTTTTTATATCCTCGGTCCAAAGGAAGTTTCTACAAATGCCGGTGATGCGGGAAAAAACCATGACGGGAAGGGAAAGATGGCAAATCGAACCGAGCAATGCCTCGCCAGACCGAGCGCAAAAGTTCCAACCGACCGGCGTAAGATAAGTGCTTCCCCGTCCAAGATTAGGCTCGTCGACTCGAAGCTCCGCAAAAGCGAGAGAACTAGCCAGGCTAATAGATGGTGGGGACTAAGTGGAACCCCAAGGTATCGAAAAGGAAAGTTGCCTTCCGCAAACCCGGTATCCCGAAGAAGAGCTTGCTTCGAGTCGTCGCCAATGCCTCCAAAATAGATAGACGATTTGGTCGAGTTTATAGTCAAGCCGGAGGTATTACCAAATGTGTGTAACTAGTGCGCTAGGCACCGAACGGAGGGCCTATCGTCGCGGCAAAACACAATAATATCATCCATAAACGCAATGTGATTAATTTTGTGGAACTCACACTACGAGTGAAATCGAAGTCGACCTTGCCGAAGCAATCCAAAGCATGCGAGAGAAGTATTCCATACACACTATGAAGAGGGAGGGGAGAGAGGATCCCCTCGCCGAAGCCCACCTTTGCTCGGGAAGAAGCCAAAGAGGTTGCCATTCACCAAAACAAAGTAGGAGGGAGATTCCACACAAACCATGACCAAGTGGACAAAGGCAACCAGGAAACCAAGCTCGCAAGATAAGGCCTCGTAGAAAAGGCCACTATACCGAATCAAAAGCTTTCTTGAAATCCACCTTCAAAAGGCAACTTGGTGAGGTGCGTTTGCGGTCATATTGACGGAGCAATTCCCGAAGAAGATGGATATTGTTCGATATTTTCCTACCACCCAAGAAAGCATTCCGCACAACAAGAATAACTTCAACCGAGCTCTCGCTAACCCTGGAAGAGAGGATTTTCGAGATCACCTTGTACACAACATTACAACACGAGATAGCCCTATAATCCGAAGGAGAAGAGGCACTAATAGACTTGGAAATAAGGGCAATAACAAAATGGTTGACCTATTTAAGCGGACGTCCTGAAGCAAATAAGTCTTTCATAGTAGCAAAGAAGTCAACCCCCATAATATCTCAAGCTTGCTTGAAAAACAAAGAGGAGTACCCGTCCGGATCCCGGGCTTTGTCATTGTCAATCCCAAACGAGTCTCACAGATTAACTCACCGGAAACCGAGGCTAGGAGGAAGTCATGAGAACTGAATCAAGGCAAGGCCCGTTGAAAATAATAGCACTATCAAAGGGAGTGGTAGCCCGAGCCGTACCCAGCAACTTTTGATAGTAGCTTACGAAAATGTGACCTACGGCGGAAAGGCCGCCCTCGGCGTCCTCTCGTTACATCAATGAAGTTTCTCTTGTGATTTTGGTTCATGAAGGAATGGTAAAATCGGCTACCCCCGTCACTCTCTTTTAGGTATTTGTATTTGAGCTTTTGGTCGAAGAACATTTTTTCGACGGATTTGAGGTTAACCAAAGGTAGCCTTTGCCACCGCTCCTGTTTTAAAAGGCTACCGTTATCCATGTTTAACTCGTAAGGCTTGCTGAATGTGGTCAAGATCAAGCAATCGCTCCGGCCACTCGTTCAAAAATATGGTTATAGTAGAGCTTGTTGAGTTCCCTCAAAGGCCCCTTGAGAGCTTCAGCTTTTGACATAAAATAAACATAAGAGCGCCCCTAGTGCCACGGAACCAATGATGATCAACCAACTAGAGAAAGCTGCCATAGTGAGCCCACGTGTTGAAAAACTTAAAAGGCTTCCGACCGGAGAAGGTCGGTCGTCTATCCGAACCCAAGCTCGAGCATGATCGGAGAAGTCACCGACGGACTAAAATGGACGAAACCGGGAGAGTAGACATGGGCCATAGGGGGTTGGCTAGGACTCGTCAATCTTAGTCCGGACATTCCCACTGTTCCAAGTAAATTGGTTGCTCGTGTACGTGAGGTCCCTAAGGCCAAGATTTAAGCAGCATGAGTCGAAGTCCGATGTCTCATAGGTAGATCCCGTTGCACCATTGTGCTTATCTTCCAGGTGAGAGGATAGAGTTGAAGTCCTCAAGAACAAGTCACCGACTTTGGGGATTTCATTTATGAAGGTCCTCCTAAAGCTCCCTTCGCCGAGTGATTGTATTAAAGCCATAGACAAAAGTGGCATGGAATATCGACCGGTGAACGAGGCCGCGAATGCGGATATGCAACCCTTGGAAAGTAACATCAAGAGGGTCAATCAATACCGTATCTAGGTTTCAAAAGAGGATAATTCGGGCTTTGGAGGCATCGGAGGCATTGGAGACTACCCGCCACCGCTCGAGTCAAAACTTGTGCAGCTCGAGCTAGCTTAACGAGGCTAAGCTTGGTTTCGACCAAAGCGCAAACATCTAACTTTTTCTTTTTCACGAGGCCCACAACCTCATACTATTTTAGGGGACTATTTAGGCCCCTAACATTCCAACAAAGAACAATTATAAAGCGATCGAGGAGGTCAAAGCCCCCTTAGCATTGCATTTGGACTTCTTGATTTTACGCCGCAGTGGCGGCTCTTCGACGTACATGGTAAGGCTCGCCGCCTATGGTGCAACCGGCACAACCGAAACCGCTAATTCCGACTAAGCCCCCGCATTGGCACCCGGATCCTCCTCGGTCGGTGCAAGGCATCACAAACCATCTCGACATTGAAGGCCCGTCGCCCTATCCCCCGGCCTAGCCGCCTACCGTGGCTAGGTGACAGTGCGTCGGCGGGGTTCATGTTGTCACCCCGCCGTGAGCACAACTCCACACTAAAAGGATCGGCTCAACCGCCTTACCCTTATCTCGCCCGAGTAGTAGTTTAAAGGCCTATAGATGGTCGAATGTCCCGAGCTTACATATGAGTATGCTCGCCCGACCGAGAAGGCGAAAGCTCGCCGCGATTGATTTTTACGAGTAGAGCGGGATTTGGCACGGGCTTTGCCGATGATCGTTATCCACTCCCCCGAAGCCGCCTCTCGCCTCAAAAACCATAGAGTCAAATTGAGAAGCCTTTGATGAAACGTTGGCATGACTAGCAGACACAACCAAACCTACCCCGTTATTAATATTAATCCTAGTTGGGGGTGGAGAGCGAGCCTTATTAGTGCTTGCACCCTCGCTCGAACTAAC